TATTTGTTTCGGCTTGAATCATGGATGGTTGCCCTATGAATGAAGTACATGTCATCAACTTAACAAAATCTTTTATTATAAGAACAACGGTAGGGCTCCAACAACTTTGCTTCAATTTACTTCTGGTGACGCAAACATTGACGTATTCAGCCTGGTCTGAAATTGCGGCCTTCGCCTTGAAAACGGACAGGAAAATTTCAAAGTACGAATATATTATGTGTACCTTTTTTCGCAATCACCTATCATCTTCACGCTAACATAAAAAAATCTTCAAGTTGTTGGTTTCTCCCTCCTAAATATTATAGATAGCGATCATGGGTCCATGACCTTGCCAAGGTGGTGATATTCATAACACAAAAAACGAAAAAAGTGATAACACATATGGTACAGTTCAAAAAAAGCTATGATACATGCCACAATTGATTTTGTGCATCGTTGACATCCTTGAGACCTTAACCCCGCCCCAGTCTCATTCTTCACCTTCACATATCCTGCCTTCAGGATCTGACCTATTTGTCTAGTTCCTACGAATATAGTATATACATATTTTCTTAGTTTCAGTAATTGGTCAAAAGAGGGAAATACTTCATTTATGTGATTGTAAATTTACACGATTATCATTATATCTGATCACAATTTACGATTGACGAAAACATAAAAAAACCTGTGATTTGCGAGAAGCTATTCATAATTTCAAACACATATCTTCCGAAGTCGGATGTTGTTTTTTGTGGTTGGAATAATTGGCCGGAACTATCTTAAAGTTTATATCTCGTTGGCAGTGGTTGCTATTCACGAATTTCAATATATATATACTATTATATTTATAATTTTATGTACATTTGTTTTTTTTCAAATTCCAATGCATTATCTTCCAAACTCAAATGAATGTTGACCATAACAATCAGCTACAAACTTAGTACAAAGCAATTTTTGGAGCATGTCTAACAGTGAGATCAGTTTTGCGATGAAGTTGCTCGTAAGCCACCACTACCTGTGGACCTGACCTATCGAACCTAACAACGAGAGAAGTTATAAATCCCCCCCGCCAGCCCACGACAAAACCTTTGTATTTATTTGTCTCCAAATAGTCTGGCAGACCCCAAAATCACTTTTCGTGTCTTTTTTGCATCCTGGCTGGACCGGTAATGCCTTCTTTGCAAAAATGGCGGGGAAGTGTCTTACAAAGGTTTTGTTGCGGGGAAGGATTTACTATGATTTTTCCCAAAAGGAACGAACATATTGATTAGTACATAGTACTAGTTCAGTATCAGTTTTTTAGCAAATGACCGAGCAACAACAACCATCCTCCGTAGGCTGAAACTCATCATATATATCCATAACAACAAATGCACGATAAAATACATATTACATATATGTCGTCAAACAGAGCTGCTCGGTAAACCGTGGGCAGAGAGGGAGAAGAGGACAACAAACGAGGGGTTGTGACAAACTGTTCCGTCGGAGTTTCACGGACTCATCAGAAGGCTGAACCCTCAACAGTCTGCGGAATCCCCTAATTGCTTACACTGTAAGTGATAATCCACCTTAACCCCGGTTGTGGTTAAGCATCAACGACTGTCCGACAACTGTTTCCTTGAGGTGGGCACCAACCACTGCCCTCAAGGTACCTGTGACAAAAATCAAAGCAGACTATCACTCAGTGCACTCACCCATGTGTGTGTGTGTGTGTGTGTGTGTGTGTATCTTGAGCATTGGAAGCAATGCGGAATAAATAAACATGACCAGGCCGTGTGGCTGAAGGGTACACACACATGTACTTAGTCTAGCTGTTTTTTGTCATGGAAACAAATGACTGCAATAGTGTGAGCATTGTCAGGAACTGCACACGTTCATAAAGAAAAGGAATGAAGAAACAAGCTTTTCTTGTTCCCATCCCTGTGGGTGAATGATACACACCGTGACATGTCACGGTGGCTGTTGATAAACAGATCAGGAGTTCAAATTCTGAAGGATATAGTACGAAAATGTTAGGAGCTGGCACCCTGTTTCTTTTCAAGAGAAAAACTCAAAAGAACTTTTTCCCAAAACGCAAAGGTGCGCTTTCAGAACTTTCCGGCCGCGCTCCCCCGCCGCCCCCCCCCCCAACCTTTTCTCCAATTAAAATACTAAAAAAAAACGTGATTCACATTGACCCCCCCTCCCCAGATCCCTCAACCTTTTTTTTTTTGTTTGGGGCGATGGCCTTGAGGTATTATCATCGGACTAACCAGCCCCTGTAAATTCAATCTTTTGTCTAATCTGACATCAGGTGGCCATCGGGTGGCCTTGAGGGTCCTTTGGTTTATGCTCTGGTCTCGCCATGGACTTCTTTCTTCATTGTCTTCGCCATCTCATAATGAAGGATTTGACGAGTGGGAGGGTCCTTTGGTTTATGCTCTGGTCTCGCCGTGGACTCGGCATCATGTCCATATAGGTAGTCCTCAACGGAAGTTTCACTTGCGCTGGAGGGAACATGTTTGCCGCTCATGTCAACAAAAGATAGTTGATGGTGGGAAGCGAAATGAAAGACTGTATCAATGGATACATAGATGTGGTAATCATACATATGCTATCATACCCCTATGTCGATGTTCCACGGGGGAAGTGTTGGAGACCAAGAAAAAATTGAATCGATTGTTGTCACCTGCTCTTAATACAAGGGATAAGCCTAGAAAAACAAGGAGACGTAGGAAGGAGATAAGAGAAATGATTTGGGATAAAAGGCGAATTGTCAAAGGCAATGAGAGTGCTGCAAGAGTTTTGACTTCTTATTGTGGTTCGGTTATTTTGTTTCACTCTATTGAGGGGCTCTCGTCCATAAGTCTGATTAAAATCCTTGAGCAATGCAGGGTCAATGCGAAGCATCGGGTCGTTGTCACATTTGTTGGGGGAAGTCGTTTGGTTGATCCATGGGAGATTCTTCGCAGATTATTTGGGGGTAGTTTGGTTTACTCTGATTTTGGCAGAACGGAATTACATCATGCTCGTGGTTTGAATAAGAATAGTGTCATTCTTATTTTCGACCCAATTGTGCCCTTCTTGAGTCGTTCATTGGCCTTGAGTCGTTCGTTGTCTGGTCTTCTAAACAATCATGTGCGTCGTTGCAACTTGAAGTGCTGGAGTTTCGATGGTCTGATTGCTGCTTATTGGGCTGTCCACACATTTAGTGAGAAGCGGTCTAGATTTCGTCTACGATGCCCGTTGTCCCACCATATTTTGACCAGATTCGGAATTCATGTTAGAAAAAGGTTGGCCGATGAAATTGTTTACAATGACGGTACCGGTAAAACAAAGGTTAGGAAATTGTGCAGCAACATCATTATGATAGCGAATTTTGACATTCAACACAGTTGGAAAGGGGTGCTGGTTCGTCGGATGAGAGTAGTGTGGTGCAGAAATTTGTCTATTTGCAACCTTATTCACAGCGGCAGTTTGTTCTTGTGCTACCTTGGAGGACTCTTTCCCACGTGTTGATGATAGCCATGTGGGCATTCGGGTTAATGGTGCTGACTCTCTTTTTTGAAGTTTTTTCGCCATTTGGCGAAATTCCAAGAATATGGTTCGACCTTCAAAAAAAAAAAGAAGGAAAAAAAAAAAAAAGACATCGGGTGGCCTTTTCAGCCCAGGGTGGCCTTATTGCCTTCGGGGAGCCCCTACACTGGGGGACACCGGCCAGGGGACAGCAGGTAGCAGAGGGACAGAGCATCATCTGAGTGGCCAGTCGCTGTGCCTCCCCGACTACCCCTCCCCCTATGAACATGATCAGCCGAGACTGTTTTTTAATGCCAATTGGGGGGACCAACCGGCTATCTCTAGGTGGCGGGCGCCACGCTTGCCCAAGAGGACATACATGAAGCCAATGGGGATTGAACCCAGGACCTCCTGAATACCACTCGCGTGCCTTACCATCAACCTCAAACTACTCTTACGGGACAAACTTCACAAACCAACCAGCATTCGGCACACATAACACAGCGAGTACTAAGTAGTGCACCGACTAGCTAGCCGACTGCACACAGTTACAGAACAGATCATGAGTTCGAGTGATGGCAGATACAATTATAAAGCTAGGAACTAAACCCCTTTCACACACAGAAAAAAAGAGACCACAGAGGTGATGTCACGGTGAACGAGTTAGGTATCGCACAAGTCCAAGCGTTATAGTTCCACAGCCAAGCCCAGCAGGCGCAGCCCCCCGACCACATAATC